GTAAGAGGTAATTGAATGAATTAGCCAAGGATGTTTGGGCGTAGAATTCAAGGAAAATACTAGGACATGCTTTAGTATTTAGTACCCTCTACCACTTACAGAACCTTGCCTTGAAGAATAAATCATTTATTTCTTGCAAATGATTTACATCACTTATTGAAAAAAAACAGGTTTGCAAAGAATCTACTTTGTGGTTCTAACACAGAAGTTACAAATACCACTAAGTATTTCCATAGTTCACAGTATTAGGTAAAAAAAAAAGACTAAAAGTAATCACTACAAAAGTTTAGTGTAAATAACATAGCAATGGGGAGCCATGTAGGATTTTCTCACATTTTACTAAAAAAAATGAAGAAACAAAACAATAAAATCCCCCTTGGGACCTTGACTTAAGGTGATATGCCCATTATCTAAACTGGTGCTACTATTTGAGGTAGAGCATGTACTCTGAAATGAATTAGTTGAATGCAAGTCTCTCTTCTGGAGTCTAAAGTTCTATACATGTGATTAACTCCAAGGCATCTTTGAAGTGCAAATGTGTTATCACACAAATAACACTATGAAATCATCTCTATTTACAATAAGCAGAGAGAACAAAGCTACCATCTCAGAAGAGGTAAGTAGGATCTACGTGAATCTAAGACTTCACTTTTAGGGCCCCTGTCATTCATGACGCCATGTCACATTTCAGCAGTCAGACTGGTCCATGCCTCTGCCTTCGATCTCTGTAGGATGCTTGGTAACTTAGGGACCCAGCAACTAAATGAATAGATTTGCATTTGTTGAAGGTGACCGACATTTAATGAACTAAAAAAAAAACAGGTAGAATGAAGGCTAGGAATGACCACAGCTTGAAGACTCTGTCCTAGCTTACTGGTCCTCCAACCATCCAGACAAGAGGAGATGCTGACAGAGGCATGAGAAGAAACCACTGCTTCCTCCTTATACTTGCTTAGAGCACCCTGCCCTCTTCCAGTGTCTGAGGGCCTTCACTCAGCCTCCTGGACTTTACAAGTGTCTCCTAGATCCTGTAACCAGCATCAGAAGATCAAAGCTTCCCAGTCTGTCCTCTGGAGATAAGAAAATATGTTTGAAGATAGAACTTCAAACATTCCATACAATCCATTCCTGTGTAACTGACTCTCCTCAAGGGAAAAAGAAAAACCTGTCATGTGGCATATACACAATCAATACATACAAGAGAAGAACTGTGTGGGATTTTAGATACTTAAATGATAATCCTATTTGAACTAGTATTTAAAAAAGTGTGATTCAGTGGGAGTCAGGCAGACTTGCTCTCAGTCCACTAATCTTGGTAAAGTCATTCAAACTCACAGGGCCTCAGTTTTCCCAATGACAGGCTTGGACCAGAGGCAGTATCTGAGAGGTATTTTCAGCCTGGGTTCCATCATCTTCCCCATTCACTAAAATAGCCTCACTTTCATTTCTTTAACACAATGAAGATCTGATAAACAAAAACAAACAAATAAAAAAAATAGAGATGATTTTAAAGGCCCCTGGTGACTCATTCATTCCTGGGGGAGGAGGGGGAAGAATTACTTAAGAATTATCTTAATTATATATCTGTAATAAAACTAGAAAAAAAGTTAAAACCACCTATAGTCTCTGTCATTCTCTTCTTCCTTCCCTTTTTTAATACTTACAAATGTGAAATGTTTTCCAAAAGTCTTGTATAACCCCAGGGGGCACTTTTCATACCAAAGACAATGCCAGTGATATTCTCTGGAGCGTAGCACTCAGTGGCCCTGAGGAAGGTGCTTTTAGAGAAAAGTGACTCTGTGTTTGAATATCTCTGCCACTTACTAGCTATGTGACCCTCAGAAAGCTATTTCATAATCTCTCTGAGCCAACTTCCTTCTCTGTAAAATGAAGATAATAAATTATATTTCTAAAGGCTGCTAGGATAACATATAAAGAACCTGGTGTAGGGCAGCAAACCAACACGATAATAAATTATATTTCTAAAGGCTGCTAGGATAACACATAAAGAACCTGGTGTAGGGCAGCAGGTACTTTCCATTGTCATATCAGTTCTCTAAAATCACAAAACCTATCGCCTTTCACAGTGCAGAAAACAACTGTGTCTAGGACTTGTGGCCCATACTTGAGAAGAGACGAAAAGATACTGTGAAATTAGGAAGAGATCTCATCTAAAGATGAGGAAATGAAGATCTGAAGATGGAGTAGGTACCCCAGAGTCAAAGGAGTCAGAAAGTAGTGACCTGAGAACCACATAATTTTTAAGTTTTGGATTTGTGATAACTGGGAGAACAAAAGACTGATCAGCATGCTAATTAATTAGGGCATGTTGGTACAACTGTTATCAAGGATAAGCAATTATGAGACAGACTATACTCATGAAGGACATGTGCTGACAACGAATTACAATGTGCTTAATTCAAACTTTTTGGCCTTCCATAGGAATCCAGGGCCAGTCAACATTTAACTGCATTAAAGCTTTTGATACTTAAATTAAAAAGTGATTAAACTTCACAATAAAGCTACACCTTAGGAATTATAGATTCTGAAAACAAGACTGAAAGGGATTTTAGATACTGTCTACCCCCACATACTACACTTGGGAAAAGTGAGGTCTAAGGAAGATGAGAGATGCATCTTTGGTCACAAAAGGCAGCGCCAATTCTGGTCTCATTAACTTATTATCTACTACAGGAAGTCAATCTGTAGATTTATCTGATACCCATAGCAACGACTCAACATTGCGTATATGGGTTCCTGTCTCAACTCCGCATAATTTAGGGTTCGTAGGGGACTGGAAGACATCTGAAGGACTGGGCCAATGGCTTATAGAAGCAGCTGGTGGGACTGTGTGGGGAGGTCTGAGGATAATCAAGAGGGCAAATGAAGAGCTGCCAATCTGGGATTTGGGATTAGGGCTTATTAAGGGATCAAATATAGAACTATTTTCCATATCCAGGACGTAGCACAGTGACTGGCACATAGCAGGTACTTAGTACTTATTTATTGTATAATTGGATGATGAACCAAGAGTGAATAAAAGAATGAAAGGGCCTGTTCTGAGAGAAAAAAATGAGAGCTTCAGAGGCAGCAGAGAAGAGGGACTGCCTACTGCCATTCCTTAGGGGAGGAGCAGGGGAAGAGTCATCTGAACTCTTCCCAACCTGAGCCAAGGGAGGTGGCTTGTTTCCTTTGCAAGGGCAGTGGAGTGAGTCTGTGGCCCTCTTGTTTCCAGCTCAGGTTTCCATCCTGAGGAAATGTAGTCATTCCATGGCACTGCTCTGGCCCCTCTGTGCTCAGGATAGAACAGGGAGAAGTGGAATGTTCGAACAACAGAAATTTCAAATTCATAATGTCACAGTAGTTCTAGAGGAGACCCAGTGCTTAAGGGCTAGCCAAGCAAGTTACTGACCATACAGACACCGGTGGGGAAAATGTTTCATAGCAGGTACTTTCCATTGTCATGCAGCCTTCCGTGGTCCTAGGCCTGGTGGACTTTGACCTTTTGCCAAGTCTGTTAAGGCTGGACTTTGAAAGCAGGATTCATTTGATGAACATTGATGACACAGACATGATAGAAAGTTGTGTCTCATTATAGTTTCTAAATAGTAAGGGGTTAGTGTTTTATATTCCCTTTCCTTTTAACATCTATGTCTAAATTTTTCACTTTTGTACCATAGGATGTGGCCACTTTGAAGTTAGAGGCACCACTCATCACCTCTTTTTTCTTTTTCTAGGACTAAACAGAGAAACTATAAGATGACTGTACATGAATGCCTAAAAACATCCTTTCAGGGCTGATGATAAAAGCAGCTTCCTGTTTAAGAGAAATAGGAATAATTCAGTGAATACTTATGTGTTGCACAGTGTCTTCTCCATACAACACCTAGCAGACTAATGACAAAATGATGAGCATGGCAGTTGCTGGGAGAGAACAATGTTGTTCTGCCCATGTTCACATGAAGAGATATCTATCCCAAAGAAAACATGCACTGTCTCTGATGTGACTTTCATTTGACACTTGATAAAGTTGGCACATTTAAAAAATTCCTTCAAACCAAGAGCTCAGGTAAGTAAAAAGCCCATGATATATATACTCTTCTTCAACTCACAGAGTGATTGGCAAGGCCTGTATATTTTTAGCACAGTTTTAATTCCACAAAAAGAAATACCTCCTAAAAGAAATGTGTTAAGCACCCTCCTAAATGTTTCTCATTAAGTTGCCAATGCTGGTACTTGCTCCTTAAGGCTGGCTTACAGCACTCATCCTAACCCAGCTCTGTAAACCATTGAAGAAATAAAAGTGAGACTAATCGCTACTTGAAAGGCACTACATCTGTAAGAATTTTTATATTAATACTAGAGACCTGGTGCACAAAATTCATGCATGGGTAGGGTCCCTAGGCCTGGCTGGCGATCAGGGCCGATCTGGGGGGCAACCAGTGGGGCGATCAGGGGGTGGGGGTCGCTGGCATCCACCTTGGCTGGCCTGGGGCCTGGGGGCAGCTCCTGTGTTGAGCACCTGTCCCCTGGTGGTCAGTGCGTGTCATAGTGACCGGTCATTCTGCAGGTCGTTCTGCTGTTTGGTCTATTTGCATATTAAGCTTTTATTATATAGGATTTGTAAAGTATCTTGAGAAATATCAGGAAAAAGCAACCTGGAAAACAGCATTCTGCAATAAAATTATAGGAATGGTAGTAAAGAAACCAAACTGAAAGATATTTCTAGTAAAGGAACAGGTTTGTTCTTATAGTGAAACAATCTTAGCTCAGTGGCTCATTCTTCTAAAAACACCAGCTTTTGGATAAGTATGAAAATACACCACTGTGTTTAGATTGAACATACAGTGAACTCCCCAAAATGGTTCTCATGCAGTCTAGCACCTTGATTCTTTTCGTTTGTTTGTTTTTGTTTTGTTTTTATGCTGTGGAACACCTAACTTTTTAAAAAGTGAGTCTAAGGCAACAGGATGACTGAAGTCACACAAATGCCCACTCACCTCCCATGATTTTAGATTGGCAGTTAATAAACTCCGGCTTCCTGTCCGTGAGGTACCTCTGGCAGGTGTGGTGGAGGATCTGGAAGAAGGTGCATTTTTCTGAGGCTGTGCTGGCTACCCACTGGTCAAAAGCATTTTCAAACAACAAATCAAACTCTGCAGAATCCTGGAAAAAACAGTGAAATAACTACTAATCTCAATGTATAAAAACTGCTGCTTCAATCTTATGCCCAACAAAAGACTCATAAAGGCAAAACATCTTTCAAAACTAATCATAAGGTTCATTTTTTTTTAAACTATGTTTTTATAGATTTTCTAGAGAAAGAGGAAGGGAGAGGAGAGAGAGATAGAGACATTGATGAGAAAGCAACATTGGCCAGGTGCTGCCTACACACCCCCTACTGGGGATCAAGCCCACAACCCTGACCGAGAATCCAACCAGTAACTTCTTGGTTCATGGGATAATGCTCGACCACTGAGCTACACCAGCTAGGCAAAGCTCATCTTTATTAGCACCCAGGTGCATGGACAATCCACCTTTCTCTGTTTATCAAGTAAACTCCAAATCTTACAGTATTTAAAGATGTCTCTAGGAAGCTAGTATCACAGAAGTCCCTGTAGCCTACCACACATTGACCTGTGTCAGAATTCAGACTACATATCATCTTCCCAATTACTTGGGACATAATTCATTCAGGTTCTCAGCACTAACCCATAGTAATCTTGCCCCTAATCTTTGACAGGAAAAGATTCCTCCTCATTATTTTAGCATATAGTGACAATTTACATTTTCTTTTTCTTCATTATTGACATTTTATATGGTAAATGCATGTGAGCAAAAGGGGAGGATCTACTTTGAATAAATACTTATAAAATTTTTTTTCTCATATTAAATACAATAGATTCGTAAACTTTTAAGGATTTATTTATTTAAGTAAATAAATAAATTGGTGGCATGAGGAGATAAATGAAGCTTAGAGAAACATGGCTTTTCATATTGATAGCCATGGACATGAATCTGAATTCTGGTCTTTGCATTTTGCTGATAAACATATTACTAGACATAGCAATTCTTCAACCTGCATCCCCTTAGGTACCTGCATCAAACATGATGAAAAGGTTTATAATCCCCCATAAGAAGGGTATAGAAATCAGAAAGTCTTATTTGTGTAACTGAAACAGAGAAAAACGATTCAGACAACCATCACCACCGCCAAAGTTAATAAAAGAGTTGTCGTGTGAAGAGACCACCTTCGCTCAATACTCCACAGGGCACTCACCCGATTAGGATCGATGCCATTAACCTGGCGAAGCTGCTCGAGCATCCACTGTGATCTCCGCACGAACGACGTGGAACCTTCAAACTGTTTGACCTTCGTAATGGACGCCTGTGTAGGTTTCTTGTTTGTCACTGCCAAGAAAAGGCCACAGATTAGTGGGTGTGCAGGTTGGTTTGTTTCCTGTCAGTGGGCTTCTATCTCACACATACATGCATATGCAAAATGAGAATGAGAGAAGAAAAAAATACCTATACATGTATCTATAATAATAAAAGGGTAATATGCTAATTAGACCGAATGTCATTCCAGATGTCCTTCTGGATGAAGCTGGGGCTGGAGGGAAGCCCGGGTCCCAGGTGCCTGCTGGCGGCCAGAGCGAAGCCCAGGTCCCAGATGCCAAAGGGAAGCCAGGGGATGGAAGGCCTACTCTTGCTCGAATTTCGTGCATTGGGCCTCTAGTGTGTGTATATATATGTGTGTGTGTGTGTGTGTGTGTGTGTGTGTGTGTGTGTGTGTGTGTGTGTGTGTGTGT